AGAGAGTGTTTTTCTTGTACTGTTTCTTCTTGTTGTGAGATTATTGGATATGGGGAAGACATGGTATGCGGGCAGGAGTATCCAGGGACAGAAGGGCTCCATGAGCTGAGGGCAACCAAGCCAAGAGTTCATTACTGTGCAAAGGTAAACTCTTGTCCCCATCCTCCATCTTCCCTCTGCTACAAATCTATAGTTTACTCCCTTCCTTGGGTGAGCTCAAACTCTCACATGAACCTTCCAGGGGCTCATTTACCTCCCTGGGAAGGCAAAGAGGCTCAGATGTCTACAGCACTCCAGACTTTGGTCAGAGAAATTGCTTGCCATGATGTTAAGCTGAGGAGTGATTACAAAAAATAAGTCTATAAAAGGACATGATCTATCATGGAGTTTTGTATTTTCCTAAAGACAAAGACTCTGGAATTTTCTAGCAAAGGGAGAATACCACGGCAAGGGACATAAGCAGAGTTTAAGCAGGGTGGACTGGAATTTAACATCTCTGCATTGAATAGAAGAATAATAAATACATATTTTCTAAGAATCTCAGCACTTCCTTCCTTGTACTATTTCTTGGCAAATGTCAACTACACAAAGCATGAGTTACTCCTCATCATAGAGGTGGAGGGTAGGAATGCCAAAAGGATGAGGCCATTTTTCAGAATTTTAACCATAAATATCAAGTTATAGTACTTAGCACTTGGTACAGATTTTTGTGCTTTCTGTTGTTAAAAGCTAGGGTTTTTTCTTGTAAGAAAATCCTGCCAACAGAGGTCAGTAATGAACTAAGAAGGTGGTGGTCCACCAATGTGTGCAGATGGTCTGAAAGATGCTCCAAAGGACACTAGGTTTCCTGTTAATTATCAGAAAAATATTTGAAGAATATCACACACATTTTTGTCCAGATGTTTAAACTAATCTGCTTCTGATTATTATCAACCAGACAATCTCTTCATTACACACATTCAGACTATGACTGACAGATGCTAAAATGCTAACTGACCCCTAAGCAAGTACTCAGCTTTTTTCTGCTTTTGTAATAATTATGCTTTTTAATGTAAAACTGTGCAACCACTTCAAGATTAAAAATGTAAGGCCATCAAAACAGTCACTTAATTGACTACAAAATTAAATCTCAGAAAAGATCCTATTGTTATGTCTGCTGTCATAATCACAATTAAATACGGAAAATATCTATTCTGAACTTGTTTGCACTCCGGCTACTCTTCAAGTATATTTTTGAATAAACAGTGTAATAAGAATTTGCACATCTAATGACAATGGCTACTAGAAGATTCTATGCAGCTATTTAGGCAAAATGTGTGAGCTCTGAGAAATAAGCATTCCACAGAAATGCAAAACTACCACATAAAATATGTTGGAATATTTTAACATTTCAGTCATCATGCATGGAAGGGCACTTCTGTGAATGCAATTTGTTTCCCATGTCAGCTGTACAGCTATTTGTCTGTATGTGTTGGGGAGAGATCAAATACTTATATGCTTTTTTTCTGGGATTTTTGTTGTTTTCTGGGTTTTTTTTTGTTTTCTTCATAAATAAACCCACCACATTGTTGCAAAAGTTCTTAAACAAGTTCTTAACTAAAGCTGTTGGTTAAGTTAGGTTGCAGCATCCCTTCCCCTCTGTTTTCACCACAATGAACGGAGAACTTGTGATGTAACATGAAACACTCAGGTACCAGCCTTGAGGGGAAGCTCAGTACCCAGACTTGATCTCCCAATGCTCTATATCCCATGCCTACACAGTGTTGGACATCTTATCTAAGTAGGGGCACTGAACTAAATATTCATCTAAAGCTAACCAAAACTAAATGTTCAGAAAATTTTAATCTAAAACCTCATTCCTCCGCATAACTTAAATGCTTGAGTCAGGACTACAGAAAATGTTTCCTGGTCTGTTTTGAGAACATTTATAAGAGTAAGCTAACCAGCATCAGGTTGGTGCACTGGTGTGATGGTTTAACTTAGCTCGCAGCCAAACAAGACACAGCAACTCGCACCCCCTTTACCCCTACCTCCTTTCCCCTCCTCCCCAGGGAATCGGGGAGAGAATTGGAGGGGTAAAGGTGAGGAGACTTGCAGGTTGAGATAAGAACAATTTAATAATTGGAGTAAAATAAAATTAAAATAATAAGAATAATAAGAGTAATTATGATAACATCTATCTATATATATCTATGAGTGATGCAGAGTACCGTTGCTCACCACCTGTTGATAATGATCCCAGAGGAGTGAAAAGGAACCCCGAACCCAAAATCACAATCCTGGAAAAGCGAGCCCAAGCAATTCCCGAGAGAATCCTCCCCTTTCCGGTAAATCCCAGTTAATATACTAAACATGACGTAATATGATATGGAATATCTTATTGGCATATCCACTGTCAATTCTGGGTTTACTACACTTTTCTTCCCCCCCCCCACCCAGTGCCTTCCAGTCCTCTCTTCTTGGAAAGTGTCCGAGCCCACTGTCCTTGTAGTTATCAACATTTCTTCTCAGAACAATCCTCACGGAAACCAAAACACAGTGCTTCCTAGTTACGAAGAAGAAAATTAACCCTATCCTAGCAAAAATCAAGACAACTGGTCCTGAGCCCAAGAGGCACAGTGTGGCCATGCACATGTTATTGTATCCTATTTAAACTGCCAAATCACAGAATCATTAAGGTTGGAAAAGACATCTAAGATCTTTTAGTCCAACTGCCAACTCATTACCACCCACTAAACTATATCCCTGAGTGCTACATCTAAACCTTTCTTGAATGCCTCCAGGGATGGTGACTCCACCACCTCCCTGGGCAGCCTGTTCTAATGTCCGATCAATCTTTTGGAGAAGAAAGTTTTCCTAATATCCACTAATAATAGCCAGGACAGCTATGCATAAACTGCTCAGGAGCAATGGACTGCAGCCTCTGCTAACTGTTGATTCAAGACAAAAATCACACCATATCTGAAAATATGACTCTGCTCCAGTGCCTGGGACTGTTTGGACAGTCTCACAGCTGGCATGGAGGCATCCTGCATACACCTGCCAGTTCACATGCCAGTTGGTACAGTGTTCTTTGTGCTGCAAAAAACATAAGCGTTAATTCCTATTTCTTGGCCACATCCTTTTACTCGTGTGCTAGTATGCAGAAGTGTGGTAGCAGAGTAGCCTTTGGTTCCCCAAATTACATTTTCATAATATGACTCTACCAATATTTTACAACTGTATGTGTGTTAGATGTGCTCGGAGCACCTGCTAGAGAAAGTCTCTTGTAGACACACCTATTTCTTAGTATGGTTTCCACAACCTAAACTTTGGGTTTGGAAGCTAGACATCTCCTTGGGTAATGAAAATTCCATATACAAACAGAATTAAAACAGTAAATGTATTAAAATAGCAACAAATAGGACAAATCAGACCTATTCTTAGTTATGGAAGTTAGCCTAACTTTGTAAGACAAATGACCTTTAGGAGATGCCTTCTGTCCTTCATCCCCAGGGGAAGTTTAAATTATTAATTCAGCCAAGATGTTTAACTTTTAGACACATGAGGACAGGTGAACTGAATTTTACAGCCTTCAATATATCTATGCATTTAAATTACATGATTAAAACATACAAAATGTCCCTACATAGAACTCTAATTTTAAACTGACACATTTTTGAGGAACTCAGCATAGCAAAGGAATTAAAGATGTGCCTAGATACCTTTAAAGAGATATTATGCGTGCTCTTCTAGGGCATAGCCACAGTATTACAAATTCTTATCTCCAGATGTGGGGGTTTTCAGGAAGTAACATAGTTGAAGTTCTCCTGAATTTGCTTTACAAAACCAAACAGAACCTGACTAGAAGCAGCATAGTGACCAAGCTCCTCCATCTCCCATGTTTTCCATTGCTAACACATATTTACTATCAAAAAAATGTTGATCACATTTATTGTATGCTTTTACAATTTAAAATCCTTTTAATTCACTATTAATCAACCCTAATGTGTGACTTTTCTTATATTTTTAATGGTCTTGAAAACTTACCCATATAGGGTTTTGTGCCAGCCATAGAAGAAGCTTTTTCTGAGCCTTTCACTATGGTTGCTATGTTAAAATCAGTGATATGAACATGGCCTGCAATTAAACAAAGTAAAAACGGAAGTTAAAATAGCATACTATAAAAATATTCCTCCTTTTGTTTAACATTTAAGTGATAATGGAAAGAAATTACATTTGAAAGATTTATAACAATTCATAGAAACATACTGTTAAATTTTACTCATAACTAGAAAAATCATAATGGCAGCAAAGTGATGGAACATTTTTCTTGTATGTTTGCATGAACCTTTTCCTATAACAAACATTAAGGACAGCAACTGTCTTCCCAGAGCAGTAACATACAGGAGCAGCACATGAAGCTATGCGTGAAATCTGTTTCTCTTTATCTGCCTCTCCTTATCTCCAACTAGAGCCACTCCTCACATCTCAGATACTCATGACACCTGTCTGCTATCACATCTACTTCAGGTTACCATCAGCCTGGCTTTTTCTGAGTCTCCTCAGGGCAAAAAAGGAGCTGAGGAGAAAAACGGTATTTTTATCATACAATAACTATAAAATTAGATCCATGGTAGCAGAAAAGGGTGTATGTAACAGCAGCAGGTCCCAAATGATCACTCATTTGACAGCAGGTTGCAAAATGAAAGATAAGTGACAGAAGTCAGCCTAGGGACTTGATGCCTGACCAGCCAGACAGCTGATTGAAACTGAACTAATCAGGCTGGATGGCCTAAACCTGTTGTCATTACTTTTTTCCTGGGGTAGTTTACAATAAGCATCAGTTAAATTTTTCCACCACAGCAATATTTGTTATTCCTCACTTACTACAGGCAGGTAAGCTGAATATAAATCCAGCCTGAAAATCTGAAGACTTTTAATTTAAGTCTAGTGTTGACTTTTGCATCTGCACTTAAGGACAGTTTTATATTGTGGCTATTATGCTCTCTGTGATTACATCTGGCAATGCCATTGTGAAGACAGAGTACAGGGAAAGGCACTCCCTTCCCTGGCTTAACCCTGCGCTCAGATCAGGATTAATACATTGTGTGTTGAACTAGAGTCTTGAGTGACATACTCCTGTGATTATTTTTTTGATCAAGATATCAACCTCATTCAGTCCACAGAATGGAGCAGGCTTTGGGCATGATGCAGTTATTAAGTGAGAGAGGTTGTTATCATGTTTGCTGCCAAAGATGAAAAGAGTGTAATAAATGACTGATGTTGAACGTTACCATAGTGCCTGATGGAGGAACAGCAGTCTTGACAAAAGATTATGCCTCTCTGATAGTCTAACCTAGATCCTGCTCAAAGTCCTCAGGGAAATGTATATGCCAACCTCTAATAAGTCTGAACCACACACATGTGAACTGAAAATCTGAGAGTATTCTAGTTTATCCAGTTCTGAACTAGTTTTGAAAGGCAAAAGGAAGTAGGCACATCCCACTGCCGAACTTAAATCTATTGTGTGAACCTCATGAAGTTCAACAAGGTCCTGCACCTGAATATCAATACAGGTTGAGGGATGAAGGCATTGATAGCAGCCCTGCGGTGAAGGACTTGGTGATACTGGTGGATGAAAAGCTGAACATGAGCTGGCAATGTGCGCTGGCAGCCCAGAAGGTCAACTGCATCCTGGGCTGCATCAAGAGAAGTGTGGCCAGCAGGTAAAGGGAGATGATTCTATCCTTCTGCTCTGGTGAGACCTCACCTGGAGTACTGCATGCAGTTCTAGAGTCCTCAGCACAAGAAAGACATGGATGTGTTGGAGAGGGTCCAGAGGTGGCCACAAAAATGATCACAAAAATGGGATGGAACACCTCTCCCATGAAGAAAGACTGAGAGAGGGGGAAACTGTTCAGCCTGGAGAAGAGAAGACTCCGGGAAAACTTTATTTCAGCTTTTTAACACTTAAAGGGGACCTATAAGAAAAATCATAGAATCACAGAATCATAGAATGTTGTGAGCTGGGAGGGACCCACAAAGATAATGGAGTCCAACTCTGGCCCTAGCATAGGACAATCACAAGATTCAGACCATGTGTCTGAGGACGTTGTCCAAATGCTTCTTGAATATTGTCAGGCTTGGTGCCATGACCACCTCCCTGGGGAGCCTGTTCCAGTGCTCCACCACCCTCTGGGTGAAGAACTTTTTCCTAAAGTCCAA